GCTTAGCAGTGTAAAAAATTTATGGGTTAGATAAAAGTTTGCTTAGCAGACATGAAAAATATTTGCTTATTGACCTTAGTAAATTTTGAATTTTTTATCTGACCTATATATATATTGTTCGGGGTCCTGCGTCTACACTTCCTATTGATCTGACCAATTAATAGGACACAAGTTCAGATCGTTCAGCCAACGATCATTGCTATGAATATTACTGCGTGTACAGCTACCAACTGCATTGAAGATCTCGTACCCTTAGGGAGAGCTGAAATGATGTTTACTGAATGGTAAGGTAGTAGATATGATCATTGGTAGACTGGTATAGCGAGTCCTAGAAATGGTCATTTGACTTCAGATAACCAAGGGATAATAGTCCCATACTGCAATTCTAGTATATCTGATATGCCAGATAGTCCTATGACTTTGTTAAAAGCATTTTAGTACTCTATGGAGATATAATAGTACAGGCAGGAGTACTAACCACCTATGGTGGTCTATCAATTTGCATGAGCCTTGGATACATTGCAGTCAACTCATACTTAGGCCATTCCAATTAACAATTATGTTTAACAAAATCCCCCCCTCAAAAATTTACATTTTATATAGATACTAGAAAAATGCAAAGTAAATATATTCCCCCCCCCGAATATTCAGTTTTTAAGTATAAATATTAATATTAAAATTTTTCACTATAAAATAAATATAAAAGTTTGATAAATTGATAAATTCACATGATCGCTAATGCATATCAATATTCTGAACATTTTTTATCCTTTATGCAATGTTGTGTTACCTGTTAAAGTAATATTACTGGTTCTTTGTTCGCAGATTTTTTTTCTTTCTTCGCTCAAGTTCTTTGTTTTCATTGTTATTTCTTTAAATAAACACGTACCTTTTTGAGTATAAAATTTTGTGTAAAATCATGAGATTATACCTGCTAGTTTCTGTATATCAAAACGGGAAACAAATTGTCAAATCTTCAGCAATAAGTATTGAACCCCCTGGACTTTTATCTGATCTTTTAAAGTTGGCTCTTTCTACTAATGATATACCAAACGTGAATATATCAGTTGACTTTCAAAAAGATAATTCAAAAGATTGGCATATAATATTAAAAGGAATTCAAGAGAACTTAGAAATATTAATTTTTTTAAATGCTACACATATTAGATTCATATGGAATGATGATTATGATGATATCAATAATTCTCAAGCAGAAATTCACAAAAATGCCTTTAATATTTTAATGAGTAATGCTACAAATATTCATTTTCCTCTAGCACAAGGTTTAACCACCCGAAATAACCTTTTATATAATCACGTTATTGATCTTTTAAGAATCCAAAACTTGGGTGGTTTGGGAACGCTCACACAACTTCTGGGGTACAGTTTGTATCCCGTTTGAGTAACCTTATCTGGTATATTGATCCACATCGCAGCAAGTTTATTCAACGATCATATCATTTTCCAAAATTTATAGAAGAATTACCAGAATATAAAGCAAGTTTATCTTATAATCAATACTACAATAATTCACATCATAAAAAAATAGAAATTCTTTGAAACGTCATGTAGAAGCTCTAGAAAATTCATTAATTCAACCGTGGGCAAGTGATAAAAAATGGGAACAATTTATCGATGAAGTTATTCAATTATGTGCGACATCAAAAAAGTATGTAGAATATTTAGATAATGTAAATAATAGGATGCGCATTATTCATAGCAGTAGTATACCTATACGAAATGGGATTGATCACATAAAAGTACTATTAGATATTAATAAAACTTCATCAATGAGTAATAAATATACCGATATTATTAATTTAATGCAAGATAAGGCTGAGTATGATCCTATCTGCATTGACTATCTTATTCCACATAATGTTTTTCAAGCTGCATATTTGGAAGTAATGGAACTTCCATTTAATATTACATTATATCGTTACTATAGTGGGAATTATATTGGTACTTTAAATTGGATTTGTAAAAGACCAGATACCGTTGAGTTATTTGATAAAACTAAAGAGTCACAATCTTTACTAAAAGCGCACGAGTCATTACCAAAATACAGTACACGGCAAATGAGAAAAAATGTGATTAATAAAGTAAGTTAAACTTTTTAAGTAAATCTTAACAAAATGTAATGCTTAAAATTTTTTTATATTGTATAGTATTCACTTTATACACGATTGTCACCTGCTATATTATGTACACTATATCAAGATCTTACTGGAAATGCGATAAGCAATTCAAATTTTATATCTCAATAAGTACAAGAATGCATAAAATTGATGTATGAAACTCAAGATCCAAATATTGTATTTGATTTACGAAAAAATGGAGGATTTAAAGGAACTAAATTTGATGAATTTTTGAACGAAATGGATGCATATTTTAATGAAGTAAGTAATTTAATTAATAATCCAATTTAATATTAAAAGTATTAATATGAATATTTTGATTTTATTTAAAGATTGTTTTAGCAGTACATGATCGATGACATACCTCAAATTTGTATATGCCAGTTGCAATATCAATTCAAGAACTACGTGAAAGTATTATAGAACGCCTAAAAGCTAAGCATGATGAAGAAAAATTTTCAACAATTTCAGTTCCAAGCAGTGAGTGGATTAGACTCCAATTTTGGCCGAAAAACATCTATACAAAAACTGCTATACAATATTCTGGTCGATTTAACATTTCTTATAAAGTGCAAAGTAGACTTCTCTGAAAATCTCATCCTGATGCACATTATTGTGCTGCATTGTTTCGTTATACAAGGCTTTTTGTTATCAAATTTCGAAATTTCACCTGCTTTATATCTGCAGATGACAAACATAAAGTTCCAATCAGAGAAATAGTTGAAACATCAACAGGAGTTCGCAATAAAGCTACATTAGCATTTGCTGATATGGAGTTAACATCATGTGATCATAATTTTACAAAACTTTCAATAACACCATCTGTTTCATTATTATGTAATATTCCTAAAGATATCAGCGAAAGTTTCTATCAAGGGCAAGTATATGTATCCTATAAGGACTCTGTTTTTTAACCTAGCTCAGCACTTAGGCATTCTGCTGAATGGTTAAAGTGTTTACGTGAAAAATATACTATTTTGCCCGAAATGCTAGTTATTTATACTGATGGTGGCGCTGACCATCAAACTACATTTGGTTCTGTTCAACTTGCAATGATTTGTCTGTTTTTGGAAGGAGATTTTGATTTTTAGCAGCAGTTCGAACAGCACCATATCATTC